AGCAAAGCTGGCTGAGGAATTCTGGGAGTTGAAGTCCACAAGTCTTAAAGTTGCCAAGGTTGGACACCCCTGATCTAAGTCTTAGATTCTAAATTGTAATGTTTTAATACCTGTACTTTTGTCTTAATATAGCAGGTGGATTTATACATGCTTCTCACTGGGTTCCAATTGTAGCCAATTTCCTTATTATTGGACTTTCTGTCTTCTTATGCTATATACCAGCTGTTCGGCAAAAGTAAGTGATCCTATTTTTTTTGTATTTGATTTTTTTTTTAATGTTTAATCATGTCTAATTCTCAGAGACTGCCTGGACAGGTGCATTCAGTTTTCTTGGCAAGATTTTTCAAAAATTTCTTTGTCTTCATTGTCTCCTTCCCAAAGCTGAGGAAAACTGACTAGGTCACCTGACAGTTTTGGACCTAAGGCAGGACTAGAACTCACAGTCTCCTGGTTTGTGGCTTGATGCCTTAACCAATACACCAAACTGGCTTTCTTTAGATTAGTGTTTGTTAGATATAGAGTGACATAAAATTAGAATACAATAAAAATGGAATTAAATAGGATAATTCACAAGGGAAAGCATTCCCTTGATTGTAAAAATATCCAGAATGAGTTGAGACATGTAGGGTGAAGTTAAGCAGGGTGATTTTTCTTTAATTTTAAAAGCTTAATACCGACAGGGAGGCTATTAATGGCTGCTTGTGTACCCATAAAAACCTAAATTCCTCCACAGCAAACACCTTGCCTTTCTCAACAACATCAGATCAGTGGTGCGTTTCAAACTATTTTTACCACTGGTTTGGTGGGCGTGGCTTGGGCACACTTTGCGCACGCACACACACTTGTGCATGCGCGTGCACCAAACACACACTTTGCGCAGGCGCAGAGGCTTTCTGACTCACCTCCTGCAATCCTGCACTCTCCCTGTCGCTTCAGCAGCTGCCATGCAGCAATCTACTTCAGCTCATTCCTTCAACACTATGTTCATTCTTTATGATGATGCTTCTTCTCAGTGCTCTGCCTTTAATTGTACTTTGCCTTGTTGAGTTCCAATGCACCCATACATTTCAGCTCCTTATCTTTAGATATGCATGTGCATCCAACCCTGCATCAGGGATGGGATCTGACAGGGTTAACTACTGGTTCGGTGACTAGCGAGGTTCGGTGATTTACGATGTGCTTCCCTGCATGCTGCGCGCGTGCCTGTAAATCGTCATCAGCTTGGTGCCTGGACAGCTGAGCAGCACTGTGTGCAGAGAAGCAGCCTTTGAAAAAGCCCTTTTTTCCTGCTTTATTAACTGCAGCTGTGCCTTGCACAGCAGCTGAGGTTGAAAAAGCAGGAAATAAAGGTCCACTGCTTCCTGTCCTGCCCTCAAATGCTTTGGATAATTCCGAATACATTTTTCCCCCTACTTTCCCCACAATAACAACCCTGTAAGATGAGTTGGGCTGAGAAATAGTGACTGGCTCAAGGTCACCCAGCCTGTTTTAATGCCTAAGGCAGGACTAAAACTCACAGTCTCCTGCTTTCTAGCCAAGTGCCATAAATCAAGGTCCCCAAACCCCTGGTCCATGAAAGCAGCAGTGCACAAAGCTCCATTTGCGCATGCGCAAGATTAAGTTGTGCACACTAAACCATTTTTTCCTCCTTGCTGATCCGCGGAGCCAGAAAAGTTGGGGAATGTTGCCTTAAGCCACTAGACCAAGCTGGCTTTGAAACTGGTTCCCACTTTAACAAGACAGAAAAGTCAAATAACAAATTCCTTATAGGAATAATAATTGGCAGCTTTCTGCACTTTTACAATAACCCAAATCTGCTACCTTAAGCAGATCACATCAGACCTTCACAATTTATAGGGCATAAACCTCATCTTGCAAGCAAACATACAGGTGGTCCTCGAATAGCTCACTTAGTGATGATGACACTGAAAAAAAGTGACTTATGACCATTTTTTCACCTTGGAGCTGTTGCAGCATCCCCGTGGTCATGTGATTTATATTCAGGTGCTTGACAATCAGTTCATGTTTATGACGGTTGCACTGTCCTTTTGCAAGGTCATGTGATCCCTTCTTGCAACCTACTGGCAAGCTAAGTCAATAGGGAAGCCAGATTCACTTAACAACCATGTTACTAACTTATCAACTGCAGTAATTTACTTAACAAATGTGGCAAGAAAAGTCATAAAATGGAGGCAAAACTCCAAATTTCTCACTTAGCAACACAAATTTTGGGCTCAATTGTGTTCACAAGTTGAAGACTATATGCATTGTACTCATGCCGGAAGAGTCTCATATACAACAGCTTTGCCTAGTTTAATAATTTATAGATATTTTCACACCCCACAATTGTGGCATTATCATCACTTAAAACTAACGGCTGCATTGTGTTATTTTATTTTTTTCCACTAGGATTTTCTCTCCCTTTTCTGCTCTGGTATTTGGTTGGTATCCAGATCCAGCCAACTCTACGTGGGCAAAAGAATTCACATCTACAAAGGTAGACCAACCTACTTGATGACTCCAATTCAGCTGATTGACTTTTCTCTCTGAATAGAAAAAGATCTTCCTTAAATTTGAGATACTTAAAAAAGTGTAAATATAAATACTTTAACTTCAGTTTTCTAAGATTTCCTCTGATCGAAAGTATATTTTTTCAGATGAAAAACACATGCCAAATTTATTGATGTGACATTCTCATATGAACCTCAGAATCTGTTAAACATTGTGATGAAAACCCCCACTTTATACAAGAATTTACGAATGTCAATTGTGCCGAGCAGTTATACAAATGTGACATTTGTGCAAAAATGTTTGCTTTTAAACAAAGAGAGGTATATTTTATTATTATCAAACTCAACATTTTCTCTCATTTCTCTTGATTAAGGATGAATCGAGGTCCAATTCTACAGAGTTTTTAAGCCAGCCAGTCAGATCTGAAGACCCTGAAACTCTACAAATAAAGGAAGTCTTAATTGAAAGACATGGCTTTGCTTTTATGGATGGGCACATATACAAAAATACCAAGACAGAAGCACTATCTATGAGAACTAACAACTGCAATTCTTTGACTACCAATATAACAGATAGTACTGGGAACTATCAGTTGCCATCTTTGTACAAAAAACTTCTACCTGAAGATCCAAATGAAAGCCAAATATTTTCTGAGTGCTTAGTTAATCCACTCGAGAATGCCACAGTAGATTACCTGCCAACCACCACACCTGCCATTATGACTTCTGAGGAAGACAGCTTTGGATCTGAACTCAGTTCATTGCCTATTTTCCCTATAACTTCTTTTCGAAGAAATTCAGGTTTTTTGGGTGGAAAACTTACTCTGGATGCTATAAAAATGGACTGTAGTTCTTTCACAGAGAACCCTTTTTTAAGAGCAGAGGTATAGGGAATGTTGCTCTTAAGCATTAAAACTACCTGTACTCTGTGAGGGGGTGCTATTCTCGTGATACTGTAGAGGGCTCCCAAATGCTTCTCATGGGAATTAGATTTTTTTATTTTTACGAGACGAAAGATAAGCAATTTCATTATTTCAAAAACTGGACACTAGAGGGGATTACGTTTTTAAGTAGAGGAAAGATTTACAAGCCGGTAGAATACTGCAAAATTCATTGTTATACAAAGGTGACGTTTGAAAAATGAATTCAGAAAATGCTAGCTACAATATTGACAATCTCAGTAATTATTTCTGCTTCTATGGACAGATGTCCAAATGTTCTTCAATGTTATTGAAGAAATGACAGATATAAAACAAATTTTATCTGACAAGATAGAGATGGTTTTAAAAGTGGATGTATAACTGACAAGCCAAGATAATTACTTAAAAAAGGATGTTTCACTGGATTTACTAAAGAAACTGGCTTAAATTTACTTAAAATTTAACAGAGAAGCACAAACCAAAGGCATGGATCATGTTTCTCTACTTGATTTATAAAAGAGGCTTATTATAGCTTTGAAGAACTGTTTTTGATGGGATAAAGAAGAAATGGAAAAAAACAGGTCCCATGATATTTGAATGAAGATTAATATGGTTAGAAATAAAAAAGAATAAAGTTGAGGTTTTTTTTTATTAACATTAAAACAAGATACATTGTTAGTAGTCCCTTGGGATTTTGGGGTGACATCAGGACTGAAAAGATGTTGCATGGATTTGTTTATAAAGAGGTGGAATTTTGGATGAAATAATAAATGTTTGTAACCATAGAGAATCACTAACTTACTTTGTGATGAAGGCTGGAAATCACTTCTTTACATATATATTTTTCTTTCTTATGCTGTTATCTTTCTTCTTTCTCTTTTCTTTGCTTTTGCATTTTTCTTACTTTTATTCTCATTAAGTTTAGTTTGTATTAGTTTATAGTGATTAAAACTCTTTAATAAAATGGAATGTGCATAAATTAGGACAGGCAGCAGGCGTAGCTATGGCAATTGACAAAGTCTTTTGACAGGTGTAACATGTCATTTGGCTGACCCATTACAGGTATTTTCAGTTGTGAGGGGAGAATCGAATCCCCACACCTCAGCATGAGGTGATCTCATAGCTCACTGTGTTTGAAGCACCAATAGGGCTGATGCAAATTGGATGTTTTGTAATAAGGACTGGGACATAGCCTTCTAAAAAATGCTGGCCTTGAGAGTACAGGTAGTCCTCAATTTACAATTCATTTAATGACCATTCAAAGTTATAATAGCAATGAAAAAAGTGACTTATGACCGTTTTTCACACTTATGGCCTTTGTGGCATCCCCATGATCATGTGATCAAAATTCAGATGCTTGGCAACTGACCCGTGCTTATGACATTGCTGTGTCCAAGAGCACCTTTTGCAACCTCTTGACAAGAAAAAACAGGGAAGCCAGATTCACTTAACAACCATGTTACTAACTTATCAACTGCGGCGATTCACTTAACAACCGGTAAGAGAGGTCATAAAGTGAACATAAATTCACTTAATATCTTGCTTAACAACAGAAATTTTGGGCTCAATTGTAAGCCAAGAACTACCTGTATTAGCAAAATAGGAATTGAGAGAACCACTGTGATCAGCTACAGCAGTTGGTTGTAGAGCAGGGATGTCAAACTCAAGGCCCAGGGGCCGGATCCAGCCTGCGGAGCCACCCTGGAAACAGCAAAGGACTGGCCCATGGTGCCTCTGTCAGTAAAAATGGAGCTCGCGAGGGCCGCGGTCCTGAGTTCCGTTTATGCTGGCAGAAGGTTGCAGGAAACTGTCACAGCTGAAAATGGAGCTCAGGAACCTGTTTTTGCTGGCAGAATGTTCGGGCCACCACAGGCACCCCCAACACAAGTGACAATGAGCTGACCACGCCCAAAAACACAACCCTGATGTGGCCTTCAATGAACTTGTGTTTGACACCCATCATAGAGTAGGGGTGTCAAACTGGCAGCCCGCAGGCTGGATATGTCACATGCAGGCCACACCCACCCCAGCTCTGCGAAGAGAAAAAACATTGCGATACATCACGTGATGGCAATGTGATGCGGCGAGTTTGACACTCATTATAGAATGCTTGAAGCTGGAAAAAAAACTGATAGGAAATGAGGAGTTTCTGTGAGAAGCCTTCCCTTAGCCGTGACAAATGTAATAACTCTGTAGGATTGGGAGACAGATATGGGGCAGAATACCTGTCAGGAACTGAAGCTGCTGCAGTCGTTCCCACAGAAACACGAGGGATGATTTCAACAAAACCAATCTCAACCCATCTTTTCGCTAAACCAATTAAACTGGATGGCCAGTTAACAAAAGAAACTTGACATTCGGTGTAGTCTGTACATCAGCATTCACATCTGACGATGCAAGCAAATCATGGGATTGAAATGCCCATGAGGAACTCCTATGATATCATCAGAACAGCAGCCAACTCAGGTAAACAGTAGGAAGTACCAGCCCTTAAGGGCACACCTGGGTATGAGTGGAATTGCCACAACAAACAGGTTTTGAAACACCCCCAATTGATTTTTATGTGTGAATCCCAAAAACTACAATGCTACAATGCTTATATTATGTAGTATAACAGCAATTACGAACCAAAATTTAAAATACATAAAAATACATCAAAGCAGCTGGAAAGGGAACATTCATTTTTCTTTCCATACTTACAATACTCCTGTTATATTTCCAGCTTAGGAAATATAAAACGCAGTCTCCAAACTTATTTTATGTTAGTGTCAAAATAGGTTCCACTATTTTCTGGTGAAGTGGAGCAGGAGAGGGTTGAGAGAGGTTATTGGAGCATTAAAATATCACAAAGGTGCTTTTTCGCTTTATTTAAAGCACAGGCTTAACATGTTTTGGAACTGAATGCCTTTGGCATTTTGTTTTTTGAAAAAACGAATTCACAGTAGCATCATGGGTATGACCAGTAACAAAAGACCATCAGCTCAAGAGCCCAATACAAAACAAATGAAAAATGAGCTGTAAAAGATCTCCAGACATACTCATTTTTTATTCAACCATTGAACTGATGAAGTAGAAAACAAATTTTAAATCACTCTTACCACCACCACCTCCAAAAAATAAAGACGTTTTTAATAGATAAGAGCTGGCTTTGGAGCCTGGCTTCTAGTTTGTCAATGTCGCTCACCTTTTAGAAACTGTTAAAGGGACTGAAATGATTTTTTCCCCTCTGCAATTGGAAGAGAATACTTGACTATCCAAGCACATCTTATTTCTAATTTAAGATTCAATTGCTAGTCAGTGAATTCATTTGAAGAAATAGGAACGTCACTTGCTAGAAAGTTTACTTTTTAAAAAAATAAAATCTCCATTTGTGCTAGGAAATGGAGCAGAGCTACTGCATTTCTTAGTCAATACTGAAAATATGTAAATTCTCCTGGAGCTCTTTCTGCCACTGATACAATGGGACTTGAGAAACTGTTTTAGAATAATCCATCTCATTGGATGGATTTAAAAGTTTACATCCTGTTTGATTTAGGGAGATTCTTAGGGACCTCATGATCTATGAATCCCCTGAACTTTCATTCAGGTTTGGGGCACTATAAAGGCTAACAATGTTACTATGACGTATTTCATAGATTAGCGTCAACTTCACCAGTTTGTGGGAATGCAAGCCCACATTTTTCTTTGTTCAAAGAAACAAAGCAGTTTCAAATCATTTTTCAGGATGCAAGAAATACTTTCTTTGGACAAAGAAAAATGTTGAAAAAGATTCAAGAGTAAACTTAATTATAATCTAAACAAGACATTCTCCATTCATTTGAAAGGCAACAGTTCACCCTATCTTGCTGCCTTGACTTGTGTTTAACTCCGTACAAATCTGGGGATCAAATGTCCAAGTTTTGGCAGTGACAGAGAACCAGAGAAGCACATGCTCCTTAGTGTTCCTGGACACTGTTACTCTCTTACCTTCAGAAAATGGGTGGAACTTCAGCTGGTCCATAATGTTCTAATTATAAACTTTAAAATGAAAACCGAGTCAAGTTCAACTCTTGGTAACTTCAAGGACTCCTGAAATTTTCTTGGCAATAGTAGTAGCATTATGCTGCTGGCTTTTGTTGAACTTCCAGATCTAGCCTACAGCATTAGTAAACAGGTCCAATCCTGCAAGGCTTCCTATTGGAGAGGTTGGTCAGCTGTTGCCACCTGCAGTGACATAATTTACAGAAGCCTAGGATTTAAATAAGTGGACCTAGAATGCTTTCCCAGTGGAAATTGCCAGAAACTTCAGGTCTGTTCTTCCAATATCTGATCATTCAGCGAAATGGCATAGTATCTTTTAATTGCTGCTTCCGAGTCCAAGACCCAGTCAGTTCCACCTTTATTTACAGCACTTTTTATAGCAAATGTTTTCTTCAAACTTTTTGCCCATAAATTGATCCGTGAGCCTGCTGAAGTTCATTCGTTTTACTTGCATTATATGCAGACTGCACTTCATCTTTTCAAGATCTCCTGGATTCCCCCTCAAGAGTTGCTCCATTGCCCAACTCGAAAGGATCTTTGTTTTCCTCCATTCAATCGTACTCTCAGGACACTCAAGTCCTGGCAGTTTTGACAAGGTTTTTCAAAAGTGGTTTGCCATTACCTCCTTCCCTTGGGGTGAGAGAAACTAACTGGCCCAAGGTCACCCAGTTGGGGTTTTTTTTGGGGTGTGTGTGTGTGTCATTCTCCTGGTTTCTAGTCTGTTGCCTTAACCACTATATCAGCTCTTTGATTGCAAAACATTAAGTTTGCTTTCTCATACTGGTTTTTTTTTTTAAAAAAAAAAAACTTCATTTAGGTTTAAACTAAATCTAATTTTAGTTTTATAGTAATCAGGAAGCAGACCTATGTAATAATGTTTTCCACGTTTGAAAACTTAGTAATTTTATGAAATTTGTACAAAATTTCATAAAGGTACAAAGCACAGACAATGTTTATCAATGTATTTCAGAAGTTAGTTGTCCACTGCAACAAAAGAAAGGAGCTGATTTTCCCACGGTCATATGTATATACACTTTAATCACACCTCTTAATAGAAGTATGCTTTTTAAGCAGGTTATATTCTGTGCAATACAATACTTTGGATTTTTCAATAAGCTGGAAATTTGCAGTTTTGTTTCTATATAAATGCCAGAACCCATACTAGCTATTCATTTGCTAAACGTAAAAGCAATATTCAGATTTTGAAACAGGCAAGTATTCCCCCAAGGAATATAATAAAAATATTTTATAAAATATTGCTTATGTAGATGTTTGACTCTTGCCAGCACAATTTGTGGAAGATATATTTTACTGCCTATTGTTGTCAAAAGCTGCAAGTCAAAAGGTTTTTGGAGGATTTCATGCAATTATACATAGTCCACTTTGATATTAAACCCTGCGAAACACAAATGTTTGTCACTCAATATTCAATCCAATGTGATTTTACTCAATCTTGAATAGTTCTTTGCTCATCTATGTTAACTACAGAATATATTTTTGCAATGTGGATACAGATGTTTTTAGATTTTTAAAAATATCAGAACCAATTTATTCTGGCCAAGTAGAATGCAGCTTTCGCCCCAGTGAACGGGATATAATTTGAATGGCTAACCAAGGGCAGGTGAACATTGCCTGGGGTTTTTTTTAGTTGTATTTTGTGCAATGTGCATATATGATTTTAAATAAAATACATGGCTAGCTTCTACTGATACATTTAGTCAATGTAACTGTGAAATTCTGTTAAGTATACCCTCTTTGTAAAACATTAGATTTTTAGTCATGATTTCAGAACATCTTGCCAAAATAAAATTCTAAATTGATTCAGGATCTACTGGTTTGGGCAACATATACATACATGGAATAAAACAGAATGGGATAGAAGGCAACTGTATCTGACGATCATTTATACAAATGTTGAAAATATTTGCCATTTTTCTTGGGTGATCAAAATTGTGGTTTTTATGGGGAAAAAATTGTGAACTTGTGAATCCAGGGCAAGCTGGATGAAACCATCGTTTGCATTTTATGAGGCATTCACAGGAATAAATATGTGCTTAAACTGATTCATAACATCCAATTCTACGAATGTACCAGAAACTTGCAAAATAACTTCATTAAAATTAATTCCATCAGTTGGAGGCAGAGCGGTATTTTAAACCAACTTATAATTGATCAGTAATCTGAAATAACGTTCTGCATGAAGAGAACAGAGCCCGTTATATTTTTGCTACATCTATCAGAAACAAAGCATTCTGCGTTTATTGGGACTTATTCTATGTGGGATTGAAACCTATATAACAAACCTGCCCATTCAAAACAGCTGCAATTTTAAGCATTAGTTAAAATCTCATTAAAATGGGAGTGTGTATAGGATCAGATTACAAATCTCATAAAATGCAGGCTGTTCCATTCTCTCAAATATGGAAGATAACACATATGACATTATTGAAGGACAGATCTGTATATAAGACTAAGTGCACTTCATACAATCAATTGTAATATACAGCACTGTACAACTGACAAGAAAACATGCACTAGTATTTGCTTTTCAAGATTAAGGCCACAGAATGTCCAGAAATGATTTCTAATACAGGGATAAGAATGATCCTTGTAAATATTTGCAAACATTGTTAACCTAATACAGGGGATATGTTCTGAATAATTTAATCCGTGACTCACACTACTATCCTGTTCTTACCCAACGGGACTTGTGATTCCATTTTTCTCCTATTTTTTTAAAAAAATAGTTTACTTGCACTCTGCCCACCTATTTTAATTTTTCCATGTTACGCATGGAAAAGAGCCAAAAGATCATTTTAAATCTTCTCATTTGTCACTGACATAGCATTTAATCTTCAAATAAGAGATATTTATAAAAACAGCTTAAGCTTCAACCTCTTACCATTAACTGTTTTCATCCTATTATTCCATGCATCCTTTTGCTTAAGAAATTGCAAAACTGAGGCAAGCCCTTTAAACATTAAGTTACAAAGTAAACCCAGAGATGATAACATCTCATATTCAATGCACCTAAAGCACAGGCAGGCAGGCAGGAAGCCCTCTTCAGATACTTCATCTGATTACCCCCCCACTGCTATTCATAACTGTTAAAATCTTCTCTGAGACCAGAGGATAAAGCAATTGTTTTTCAAGCAACTAATCTACCTTTAAGTCAGATGTGGATGAAGACTTTTAGATCACAGTTGGTAAAATATAAAAGATTACCATATAATTTCTCACCTTTTTTTAAAAAAAAGCATTACATTTCAAATCAAAGTTGTCAGGGGTGGGAGGTTCACTATCAGTCCCTAATTTTCTCGTGAGTAATTTCGCAGTTAGCAATTTAACAAGTATTATTCATCGAAAGTGAACATGTATCTAAACTTTGAGCACTCAAGACAGCCAAAAGCCTCAGTCCTGCTTTTATTAAGTCAACAGGATGGTATGTAAATTTCAGGGCAAAATGTAATCATCCAATCAGACGCAGTATCTGTCCAACAAAATGTATATTCACGATAGACATAGTTTTTAATGTTTAGGGTTACTTTAGAAGGGCTTGTGCTCTCTCATTTTACTCATTTTAACTTATCTGCCGGTAGTCTGGTACAAGATAAACTTTCATGCTCTAACATTTAATAAATCAATCATAATTAGTATCACATTTTAAAGGAGGCTTGCTCTAAAAAAATGGTGCAACAGCAACACAAACGAGCAGGAGAGTAAGAGATACAAAGCCCAATTCATTTAATAGCTAGCATTAAAATTAACTATGCGAGTAGTTATTTGCTAAAGGTATGCTCACAACTGTTACTGGATCCACCACAAGGGGACCATTCCCTGCAAAAGACATGTAAATGGTTTCAGTTAGAAATTAGGCAAGATGCCTGGCACTGAAAACATTTACAATGCCAATTTAATAGCATTTTTGTAAAAGAGCATGAAAATAAACCTTTATTTTGCTAATATGTACCAATATTAATGAAAGCATTTTCACAGCTCAACACAAATTAAGTACACAGCTATTAAAAGCTGGCAAATTTGCCATCTTTAAACAGAATTTCTAAATTTGCTCTATATTACAAGTATACCAGAAGATGAAAATGTCACGTCAAGTACCAAACTGGCATTGCATGGGATATATGGCTGTCCAGAATTAAAGTCTAGAAGTCAAAAGAGTTAGATTGGGAGTATTCACGAACAGTAACTTACTACTTAATAAGTATGTTATTTGGACATTAGCATATTTGTGCAGGAAATAGGAATCGATTTTTTTAAAGAATATACAACACGCAGTATCTTCCCCCCCCCAAACAAAACCTGTGCCGAGATGCGTTTGGATATGAAACAAACAACGGACCTGATAACATATGTAACCTGTTGACATGACTACCTTCAAAATCATAATTGGGAAACTAAAAACCAATAAATTGGGGCAGGAAGAAGGATGAAGGGTACATGTGCTTAAAAATCTTCCTTGAAGGCAAATACTGGACTCATTTAAAAATCTGCTTCTCCATCCCTACTTCCAGATCACAATGCTGAAATTTAAACGCATCAAGAATCAGATTCAATGTAGTAACCTTTGCATAAGTAAACGAATGTTCGAACAAAAATCATTCAGATAATGTTTCAATACTGTTAATGCTTTAGTTCAATACTTTTTGCCCTCCTTCCATAGGCTTTTTTTTTAAATGGGGGAAATGTTTCCACTTCCTTAAGAAACCCACCAATTGTATTAGATACTCAGCAAAACTTTGAAATAAATTGGTATTTCAGTTCTAATCTCCTAACAAGTGTTGTAGACAGAAAGGCAAAGTAGTCCTTTTTATTATTTGCTCAAGTCCTTTCATGTTTTGAAAGTGGTAACATTCTCTTTCACAGGGATTAAGTTAAAATATTAAGAAAATTCTACAGTGGAAAGGAGAGCTTACAATCACTCCCCACACCAAAAATAAAACATTCACTTCTCAGCTAGGCAAGGCCAAAAGCTGAAGCAATAGAGCAAGATCCACATTTCAATTGGGTGGTGAGGTTTGGCTTATGTCCCACGCAGACCACTGCTGTCTCACTTTCATGGTCTTGGTTTTCCAATTTAAACAAGTCAAATAATCCTTTTCCCAAGAAGTATAGTGCCCTTTGGTTTCTTCTTCAGAATCAGGGTTGCATGCTAGTGGAACAGTGTTTCAATGCACCCAAGGGGGTGCATTTTAATGTATATACTTATAGCACTGCCACACAGTATCAACTGTAGTTTAAACCAACTATATTAAGAAATAATATACCACTGTGTTCCCAACCTTCCATGTTTGAAAAAAAGTTGCTCCACTCTACAGAATATTTTTGGTAGCAACAATATTAACAAGTTTAAACAAAGTTTACCAAACAGACAACTAGTTTTCTTGAAGAAAAAGGGTGAATGAGAGGTGCAACATGGATTGTTTTTTTAAAAAATGGCTTAAGCCAATTATCCAACCAGAGCTGCTGGATTCACAAGCAGGTATTGAGAATATAAACCAATGTGCTTTGACTATTTTTCAAGTATCTGATATCAATTTTGTATAAAGATTTTGAATACACAAACTACCAAAGATAGAAGAAAATGGACTTTCCAAGTTTGACTTAAGTATTAAAAACTGAAATACTCCAGAAGTTAATATTCCACACAGTACTAACAATTTTCCATATTATTTTTATACATATCCCAGCTGACCGTGGACTGAAAACCATCTGCTAAGCAGTATTAAAAGAAATAGTGTGCAAGAGTTAAAATTGTTTGTACTTTAGGGAAAGCACATCTAACCCTAATTTTAAAAAAATAAAATAAATGAAGTGAAAGCTTTAACTGGTACACACTGTTCACACCTATATTTCAAGTTTGGAAACGCATATTTTCAAGCAGCAATACAAAAAAGTATCCATGAAGAATGCATAATTTCTGAAAAAAATTATGAAAACATCCCTGCTACCATTACATTTCTAAATACAAAACTGACTACCATATTGTTGCTTCTGTGTAGCAAGAGAAGTTCATTTCAAAACAGGTAAAATTCAGTCTTCAGGTGTGAATGGCATGAATGAGAGTCCCCGTTTTAATATCTTAAGTTGTTTTTAGGATCCTTAAGCATGCAAGCCTTGTAGAGAAGGGCCCAACAAGAGGCAGGGTTGGCTTAGGGCATCCAGTTTAGGACAAAGCCGGGAAAGCTTCTGGATCATCAACATCAGGAGCAGAAGCACTTGACTGAAATGAAAGAGGAGGTCCGTCATTCTGACAGTCAATATAGCACTTTCATTAGATGTATTATTTAAGACAGCTGAATGAATGAATATATATTAATACAGGACCCTGTTAGTAATGGTGTCTGCTCTATAAAATATCCTTTTTATGGGGGAAATCAAATATTGCTATAGTGAAAAGTTGCAAGGGTTAACAAACAAGGCACTATAGCTGTGTATGAAATTATCAGTGTGAATGACATACATAAAGAAAAGGTTGTATTGATCCTCAAAATAAGAGAGACCATGATTAATGAAGGTGAAGGGCAGGAGACAGAAAGAATTTAACTAAAACCTTGAAACTTAACATTACAAGGTGAAGTGGTACACACTTCAACTGGGTGGGGATTAGTCACAAGGGCTAGTAAAAGAATCCTAGGCAAAATATTTCCAAAGTCAGAGAAGCAGAGATCTCAAAGTGATTTACTACTGAAAAGGATACACTGCACTTGAGAGTATCACTCAAATGAGAAGGAAATCTAGGAAGAGCACTAGTCTTAGCATTACTGTACGCATGTTATAAAATTATCAAGCCACCAACCTGATTGGGTGTATGGATCACATCAAACTCTTTAACCAACTAAAAGAAAACAAGCACAAATATTTATTGAGCATTCTTCTGTTAGTATATATGTTGCTGAAGTGAGAACATTAAATAATTGTTTGTTGATGAAATCAGGGCAGTTGACACTTTTTCATGCAGTGCCCATCTTCTATCTCCCAATTCTCAAATTGCTCTGAATAGCTAGTGGAAATTCTGGTGCAGATTTGGAACCCAAACCCAAAAATAATCCAAGAAACAAACAGAAAATTGCATCAAACGTAACGTCTCATTCCTGCTTGGGGTATACAGATCTGAAATTAAGACACTTATTGTTAACTGGGATAACATTTTTTTAAAATTTCAAAGTATGCAAAACAGAATGGAACTAAGAAATTAATTTCATGAATGGGAAACTATATTTGACAGAAAATAAGTACTGGTTATCTGTAACTCTGAAATCATGTAATACATATAGTGGAAATATCAAAAATTGAGTGAAGTAGCTTTAGAGTATACAAAAGGGCTTAACTTCTTCCCTCTTGCTACAATTTGGGAAGAAGGGGAGTTGCAACTTAAGTGGAAAAGAAATAATTAACTACGCTAGCACTTAAGAAGTTATCTAGTTCTCATACCCTATATTCCAATCACTTAAGTGAAACTGAAGAAAAGCTAATGTATAATACCTTCCCTAAAGTAACTTCTTACTTTTTCAGGTATAACTTTGTTTTTACAGGCTAGGCTCGCAATGTTGTGCACCATTTCTAGAAGCAGCTCAGTTCCATAAAACATTTGTCTCAGTTGATATTTCATTTGCATAAAATCAGTTATTACCTTGTCGGTTCTGCTTCCACGGCTAGCCCTTCCCCCACGCCCACGACCGCCTCTTCCACCTCTACCACCACGCCCAGGACGACCAAGATCCCCAAAATTGATCTCCAGTTGGGACGTGATATCGTTTGCTGGCTTGCGGAAGTGGTGATCCATTACAGAGTCCTCAGCATGAGACTATAATGAAATCAAGTAATTCATAATTACTATAATGAAATCAAGTGATAACTGATATGCCTTAAAATTTATTTTCATTCAAAAACAGAAAATTATATAGCACTTTATCCATATTACTGCAAACCAGACAAATCAATATTAGAATGAAATGAGGAACAACATTTGAATATTGTCAAATGTGTATCAAAACTGCAATTTTAACAGGTAAAGTTATGGAACTCTATAATTATTATACGCTCAAATATTACACCACAACTCCAGCTAACAGCTCTAGATTTGCAAAGAAGATTCAATTACCTAGATACAAAGAAAGCAAATCAGAACACACAAAACTCTACACTTGATTAAAAATTGTCCTATCTTCTATAGACCAAACATAGTTAAAAGAAAATGCCAGATCTCAATTATCAATTGATAACAATTATACATTATATTTTAAATAGCTGACTTTACAGAAACCATCTTGTCCATAACTCTGGACAAAATCCCACTCAAGCCCTGTGATGAGGCTGCCTCCGAGCAAATTAAGAAATTGGGTTTGTACCATATTCCTGTAAGAACTATCAGAGACTGTTATCCTCAATTACTATTGTACATTTACCCTAGAGCTCTTCAGAGCCCCATTCTCTCTTCATTACTTGCCGAGTAATTTGTCTTACTGCAACTGGATAATCAGTAAGATCAACTGAAGGATACATAATATACAAGCAAACCATAACCAAGAAAATTATAGCCAGTTAAAATCCACATAAAATGAACTTGAAGCATACTATTCTGTGAATGGGAGAACTGGCCTCCACAAAGTCTGCCAATATGCACTGAGTTGAAATGGTTTCAGCTACATAAGCCACAACAAGCTACTTGAACAGGAGTAGCAAATGGTATGACAATGTTATAGTACTATTCCTTAACATCTGACAGGGAATGCCTCTAATAATGAAAAGGAACACAGATCAACCTACTAATAACAGGAATCAAATACTGAAATCCCTTCAAAACTTTTTTCAGTAAAAAAATTAGAGTATTGCCATGGATGTTTACAGTCATGATAAAAATATGGGCTTGAGAAACTAAAATTACTTGAACTCATGGGCAAGCAGGCTGGCACAAAAAGGAACAAATGCTGATTGGTCAACAACCAAACTGGTTACAAAAAAGTATTAACAAATTAATTTGAATTTGCAGAGATTTCTTATTCATCAGGTAAAGATAAACCATAAAGTACCTCGTTCGGTTCCAGCTGACTCCCCTGCATTTCTGACATCCCCTTTGTCTGGAGTTGTATGTCAATGGGCAAAGAATAAAAACAAAAGATAATGAGACCCCCACATGTGTATAGGTGTATACATGACTACTTAACTACAATTAAGCAGGCAAAACTCTAGGATGTAAGATGCAGGCAGTTCTCAACTTACGACCATAATTGTGCCCCAAAATTTTGTTGCTAAGCAAGACAGTTAAGCGAGTTTTACCATTTTACCACCTTTCTTGCCATAGGCATCAAGTGAATGACTGCAGTTATTAAGCTAGTAACATGGTGGTTTAGTGAATCTGCCTTCCCAATAGGCTTTTCCTTGTTGGAAGGTTGCAAAAGGGAAGCACATGCCCCAGGACACTGCAACTGTTATATACACATGTCAGTTGCCAAGTGTCTGAATTTTGATCACATGACCATTGGGATCCAGTTGTAACTGCAAAAAAAAGTCACAAGTCTTTTTTCCAGTGCCATTGTAACTTCTAATGGTCACTAAACAAATGGTTGTATATCAAGGACTATCTATATTTAAACATACACCAAGAAAAATCCAAAACCAGTAAGTGAAGAGGATATTAAGAGATTAGGGTTCAAGCCAGCGTGTTTAGTAAAATTAATAAGCATAAGCATCAAGATCACTTTTAGGAGAAAAAAAAAGTCACTTCAGGGTAGATGTGTTAAAAAGGAAGTGCTGAACTCTAAAATACAGCTTTAGATCACAATTCACATCACTCTCATCCATAAATTATCCCTAGTGAAAAGAATGGAGCTCATGTCTATAAAAACAAACAAACAAGGAATCAACTTTGCTACTGAGAAACAGAGGAATAAAGAAAAATAAAAAAGAAACAAGTAGCTTGATATTTTCAAGACTGTCTCAGTTTTAGCAACATCTCCAATAAACATACAGGTAGTCCTTCACGAACAACAAAATTGAGCTCAAATTTTCTGTTATGCAAGATAGTTAAGAGATTTTTGCCCCATTTTATGTTTCTTGCCACAGTTTTTAAGTGAATCACTACAGTTGTTAATTAGTAATGTGGTTGTTAAATGAATCCGGTTTCCCCACTGACTGGTTGTCAGAAAGTCGTAAAAAGGGATCACATGACCCGGGACACTGCAACCATTACAAATACATGCCAGTTTCCAAGAGTACATATTTTAATCATATGATCATGGGGATGCTGCAATGGTCATTAAGTATGAAAAACAATTGTTAGTCCCTTTTTTCTGTGCTGTTGTAACTTCGAATGATCATTAAACGAATGGTTTTAAGTCAAGGACTACTTGTAACTCCATAAAAATGTTGCTTCGGATAGAAAGCTTAAGTAACGTGCAGAGCACAATTAAATGGTCTTAAATTTTACAGAGCTTACTTTTTATGGAAATTGTAATACAATGGAATATTATATGTCTAATTATTCAGTAAAACACCCTTTCTACAAATTTCTACAAATCTAGGACTCAGATTTACATACATAACCCACATCCCACCAGCCAACTGAATTTTAAAAACTGGAATGTATTCTCCACCTCTACCAGGCAAATATAACTTTTAGGAGCTGAAGTCTGCAGATAGGGAAAACAGGTACTGACAAACAAAATTGTGAAACAATTAAATTGATTTCATTGTAATGTTACATTTTCTAGTCATGTATTAATAATTTTTTTCTTCCTGCCATATAGTAAGTTAACGCTGGTGATTTTTTTAAGAAAGTCTATGAGGGCCACACACAAGGCTAAACACTGGAATATCACAATCCAAGATTTTGCGCATTGTGTTTTTAAATGTTTCAATTGCAAATGATATATAATTGTGTTTCAAAGTAAAATTGACAATGTTTAGTTAACCAAGCACCTGCTTGTTTCTGATTTATAAAATATATGGTTTAGTTAACCAAATATCTGAAATCTGATTTTTTTAAAAACATGGTTACATTGTCTTAAGCCAATTACCCTTGTATGTATAAATAAACAATAAAAATAAGTTGTACCTACCTCCTCACTCTTTGACTTGTGCAGAACAAAGCCTTTTTTCCACTGTCCATCAGCACCTTCATTTGGTTTCCGGATGTTGAATTCGACTTTTGCACGATCCTTATTTTGAATAGCTTTCCATTCATCAAGAGTCATTTCTTTAGGACCTTCTTCCTTAACTTCTTCTACTTCATTTTCCCTGCAAGAAGTATGAATGTCAAGAACTTAATACACACACACACACACTTTTCCAAGGGATGAAATCTAAACACAAGAAAAAAAACTAGAAAAATATCTAAAAACAGCACAGCCTCAATATATATTTACCGCAAAATTTTATTCTGATGATTATCAGCTGTACCTTTCACGTTTAAAAACAATGGTTGATACTATACAGACTTTGGTGTTGTCTGGGCTTGGTTGTTTGCTTGCAAACATTTCATTATCCGACTAGTGCATTACATTTAATGTAATGTCTGCAAGCAAACAACCAAGCTTACTTAGAGAGCATCAAGGACTCAGCAGTTCAAACCTGAGCTACAGATATTCTCTTCTATTGGAATGCTTGGTATGTATCATCCTGATATACTCATTAAAGGTACAGTGCTGACCATTAACTACAAATTAGAAGTTCCATACTATTAAAGTAAAAATTGAAGAACTGCCCACAGTCATTCTTAATTTCCATTTATATCCTTTAGTTACAAGCCCAGAAATGATTATTCTATTGAAGTAGATGTATATTTTATCCACTTTTCCTCCAAGTTCTTCCCATTTTATGTGTGCCAATTTCTGCTCTGTGCCCTTGAAACAGTATTCAGTAAATCAGACAGCAAAATTATGGTACCTTACTAGCCTGTTGGCTGAAAGAGTTGTTACACTGTATCTGCTATAAAAGATATTCAGGATAGGTACATCATGATTCTGATTCATGAAGATCTTTTTCAAAGAATAAATATTCTGAATTGCAATATTTAGCCCACTGAATTAAACTACTTTTATACAAAAATAATTATTCCAAGTTGATGCAACTTTATGTCCCAGAAAATTACTGAGATAAAGCTATGAAACAGGAAAAGGCTCCAGTCCAAGTGTATCCTACGAGTAATATAAGCCACAAACTGAGTTCCATAATACAGGTGGGTCTTCAGTTAGCTATTTGTTCAGTGACTGTTCAAACTTGTGATGGCGCTGAACAAGTGGCACTTATTACTAGTCCTCTGAGTTCCATCCACTGAGGCATTCCCACTGCAAAGTGATCACAATCTGGGTGCCCAGCTCCTAATTATGATGTAGCATCTGAGGGTCAGATGGTTGCCATTTGCGATCTCATTTCCCCAACAATAAAAGTAATGGAGAAGCAGCCAGACTGGCCACAAATGGTAACATCTGATGTCCTTGCATAGCAATGCATGATTCGCTTTACCAGTGGCAGCCAGGAACGCCAGAATTGCCACTGTTAATGGAAACCCTGGATTGTAGAAATTAAAATCAAATTAAAATTGCTGAGAAAAACATCAACTTTCCTAGGCCATCAACCAATAGGTTGCAATATCTGTGAAACAGAGTTGTCCTGCTACTTTGGCAAAACCAGATTGCTCAACCTAATGAAGAAGCTCAAGCTTTAATAAAAGTATTAACACTTGATCAGAGGACAAGAGACACTGGAGAGGACCCCAATATTTGGAAAAAATTGAACTTTAACAAAGGCACCAGAAAAGGGCTTGTTAATATCGCAGATGACACAAATGCACACTTACTAGAGTTCACAGAAGCCAAAGCTAAAATAAAATTCTGACAAAAGAGTACCCCATGATTTATGAGAATCAAAAGCCACTAAATAACAAAATATTGCAGATTATGAAATGTGTTATCCAATTCCTTGATGTGTGTAATGTATGTGAATATATATTGTTGTTTGCATACACACACATGTACACACACACAAACATCAACAGTGAACTTGACATTTGCATTGCAGACAATACAACTTTCAACTGACTATCCCACACAATCTGATTTTGTAAAAAGTTGCTAAGCATCTAATACTAGATTACTATTTTAAATAATTGCAATTTGGAACGCCTAAAATTGCTAAGTGGCAAGAAAGTTAATTAAAACATCTTATTTCACAATTTTTTCAGATGCATTAACAGCATATAAATTCCTGTATTATAATCAAACTGAATTACACTATGGATGACTTGAAATTACACTATTTTTTCAAATAGACAATTGAAGAGTATGATAACCCTAATTATTTGCAACGATTATGAAATAAACATCAGGGAATATTTATGTTATCACACTTATATTATTCAAAGCACCTATATATTTATTGAATTTATATTGCCGCCTATTCGCCCAGGGTGACTCGAGGAGGCTTACAGAATGTAAAACCATTTAAAATAAAAAATAAAAACTAACAAAAAGAATCAAATAAAGTACAATAGAACAAAATCTGGGGAAAAATAAAAAATAATGATCTTACAATGATGCTAGTTTAACAAAATACTTTGTTTTAAAAGGCTGGGCATAAACCTGTGTTTAAAACAGGTGGCACTCAAAGGAAATCACCTTATCAATTATGGTAGCTTTCATTTTAATTCAGTATCTGTAAGTCTTATTAATATGTTATAACGTTAACCTTCTGCTGATGAATTGGCTCTATGCTAATGTGTAGTAATGGTTCATTATTCTATTTTTATTTTATTTTGTGATTATTAAATGATACATTTAAATATCAGATGATTTCCTATATATTTAAGATGTCTTGTACCTTTTTTGTTTTTTTCTATGTATTAAAGCAATAAAAACTGAGGCACTAAAACTTCTTTTGGTAGATCATTTTGTGATCTGTACCTACATCTATATTAATAATAGATTTACTCTAAACAGCAAGACTATGCACAATAGTAGCAAGAACAAGTTTTAAATGCATCTTCATTTTAATTACATACAATCTCACAAACCCTTTCAAAATTACTAATTTGGCAGAAGACTTCATTCAAAACTACAGGTAGTATTGACATATTACAGCAATTAGGACTGGTTTTTCTGTCACTAAATGATGAAGTGGTAAAGCACAACGCATTACTTAGCAACAGCAATCATCCTACAGTCCCTCTTGTTGTTAACCAGCAGCCAAGTCATTAGACAAGACAGTTTCCCATAACCAAAATAAACTGTGAAAGCCTGCAGAAAATCTTAGGCCAGCAAGGGGATAAAGTGGCTTTTGCTAGGCAGAAGAGGTAGGGCATACAAGAGAAGCTGGGGAGAGGCTGCCAGGGAGGCACAGCATGAGTGCAGAGGATGGGGAACAGTCCAGGGTGGGGAAGATTTACTGCAGCAACCTGGTAGCTTCCCCATGTTCTTTTGAATAAGCCGGCAAGAAAGGTTGTAAATGGTGATCACATGGTCATAGGGCCTGCAATTGGTTATAAGCATGCACTGGTTGGTAAGTGTACACATCATGATCATGTGACCGTGAGGGTGTCAGGATGGCTGGAACTCCAAGGACCAAGTTAGAAACATTTGGCAGCTTCGATCGGTTGCAGGACAAATGATCATAAGTCAAGATTATCTGTTCATTAATTAAAATGCTAGTCAGAGGATATATTGGGAATTGGTTACAGCATACATAATTGTACATACATGTAGCAGAGTGAACAGCCTGTTTAGGCTGATGGCAACACTATTTTGTTGCCACCAGCAACAAAAGGACCCAAATTATTGGGGGCAATATGCTAACTATGTAAACCGCTTGAGAGGATTATAAAGCACTGTGAAAGCAGTATACAAGTCTAAGTGCTATTGCTATTTTTCTCCTCATCAGCCACGAAATGCATTTTCAGCCTCTTTTTCCCTGATTCTACATGTATTAAAACAGTAACATCTGTGTTTTAATATTAGAAGCTAAATGAATCTTTTTACTGATTACTTAGAAATGAAGAGTTGTGTTTTGGTTATTTACTGCCATATATGGAATGGTCATTCCTGAAATAGATCTGTATCCTAACTGAGGATTCTTTTTTTTTTTACTTTATAAGACAGTTTAAATCCAGGTAGTCCACATTTTACAATTATTTATTCAATAACCGTTGGGAGTTACAATGGTGCTGAATGAGGACTTAAAAGCGATCCTCAGTTATGGCTCTTGCAACTGATCTACACTTAACATCACAGCATCCTACGGACGCATGACCATAATTTGCAATCTTCAATGATGGCTTCCAACAACCACAGTCAAAAGCTACATAAATACAATCTTGCAAGTCTGAAGGTACAAACTTCCCGCTGACATCTTTAACTTTTAACTACCATCTGATCAATTAGGCAGACAGTTTCAAAGTTTGTTCCTCTGACTATTAAGCCATTGGGGATATTCCCCTTTCTCTTGTCTGATTATTTCCTAGGCAGCATCTCTTTCCCCAAGGTCATTTATGCATTCCAATGCATTATGACAGCACAAAGAAGTCATCACTAATTTAATTTTGTACAGGTGATTAAAAAAAAAACCTAACAATTTAATATTTACTTGTTTTCTGAGTCAGCAGGGGGGTGTTCCTCTCCTTCCGGAGTTTCCTCTGTTGCATGTGATTGATCCAAGTCACTGTAGAGTTTAAAATAAAAGTTATTGTTTCCAATTAATACTTCTAACATACTTGCCAATACAAGTTTAAATTTATGGAGAATTGTAAGGTCCTTCTCCAAGTTCCAATTTTATGCAAATAAATATATTCCTTTGCTTTCTAAAAACATATGCTCTAATAAAATACAGGTGATATAATGAAGTTTAACAGACATACATTTGGCACCAGCCTCAAAATGTTAAGACTGAAAAGCATTAAATTTCTATTCTATTGCATAATATTTTGTTTTCAAAAAGATTTATGCTCCTTTCATCACTACTGCTTTCTAGCTAAGGATGCTGAACATTAAAAATAATTTCTGCATTTCATGTCCTCTTGTAATCTTAAACTATGAATAATTTTGCTTATAATATTTATTTATTCTAAATATAAGCTAAAAATAAAATACTAACGTCAGTTCATCTTTGACAGTTCCCCAGTTGTGTGATCCACTCCCGCCACGCTTGTCTTCGTGTTTTAGACCACTGAAATGTGAATGTGAAAGAGAACTAACAAAACTGAGTTAACACAATAGTGCTGGGATACAGAAATTCAAAGGCAAATTTGCAAAATATTCTAATAGAATGCAATATATTTTGAAAGAGAAACAATTGAGTTTTTAAGACTTACGATCTGTCGCTTCCACTATGCCTATCAAATTCACGTTTGCCTCTAGAGTCAAAGCCATCTCCTCTGCCCATTCCACGTCCTCTTCCACCACGACCACCTCTGCCAAGACCACCACGGCCACGCATAGGACGATCAATAATGGGTCTATTGTAAGCAGAAACAGAATAGGGTCTATATTAAGCCCCATAAAACTATTAATATACTCTAAAAAGTATTGCCAGTCTACCTGAAATTAAATGACTCACAATATTTTAATTAAAATGTATGAAGAAACCTGTTTTTCTAAAAGCAAATATTCTGTGCTTCCTAGTTAACTTACTTTGGATTACATTCATCAACAGGTCAATTTGTTGATTACCCTAGCACAAATTATCCAATCAATCATAAAATGTACAATCCTTACTTATCAACAGAAAATTCTCCTCCTTCACCCTTTTCTTCGGCAGGTTTATCAAATCGTCGTTCACGAGGAGGCCGTCTCTCCTGCCTCCTCTCAATAGGCTTGCCCTCTCCCTGAGGCTGTTGCTGATCAGGCCTTCTGCCAATTCGTCTTATCCCTAAAATAGAAGGGAATCTGCATCAGTAAATTATTTACTGATCTCCACCAAGCAACTGATATTCTTTAACACATAGGTATTATCAATATGTAATAAACAATAGTCTTCTACTGATAGAAGACTATCTGGTGTGGCTGCTTTTTCTAGCAGTTCATACAGTTATTGTCTTATAGGAATTGTGGTCAAACTAGCTCTACAGGTATTTGTAATCCTTCAAACTACAAACTGGAAAAGCTAAAATTAAGCTCATGCACATCTGAAACAATAATTATTAAAATATTCATTCTCCTTCCTCCATTAAATAAAATTCAAAACCAGTATTCTTTGGTGAAATAATCAAGTTACTTGTTTCCCTAAGTGCAGTCTTGCATATAGTTTGCAAAACATTTATTTTGGGATAGAAGATCAGTCTAATATCTGAGCCATTCCAGAACATTTTCTCTTTTAAGAAAAAGTGAAATTTAATTAAGTTAATCAGATCAATAATTTCTATTGTGTTTTGGGGGGTGCACGAAGGAAGGCTCAGCCAATCTCACTGTAAACATGTACTCTGACAACAAAGGTAATATTTCAGAAACCTTTATAGAATGTGGTGAATCAGTTGCAATTGGGAAATGGGAGAGCCACCATTTTTCTTATTATGCTCAAATACTTATCAAGTTTGTTATAATAAAGTAAATGTTCACCTACAGAGCGATAAGGAAGCTGGAAATATGACTTTACAGAAATTATTATCTCTGTAGTAATGCACTAATCCGCTATACTAATCCCCTTCTAACATGGAACATTTCTGCAACTGAAAGTACTAGGTCTCAACATGCAATATACTCTATTCTCTGCCTGGAAGCTGTCACAGTGCCAACAATTCCTGCACAATAATTCTGCCACACTGCTTGAAACCAACTGGCTAACTAACAGTGCCAAAGTTTCATTCAAACAAAGAAACAAATGATTTTTATATTAAAAGTTGGCTTTTCGTCATCCTGAGAACAATGGTGGTTTCAAATAATATTGTTATCATTGGCAAAAAAAATGGGCTATAAATCCACTCATATATTATGAATTGGGTTCAAAAATTCTGCTCAATGCTAAACCAATGAGTTCTAAAACTGTCATATTTATCACGATATAAAACAATTCTAAGTTGCTGGAAGGAGAAAAAGGATTCTCAGTAAAATATTGCTTATCAAAACTATTAGCCATACCTAATACTCACAGGCACAGCTGGAACAGAATTTGTTTAAAGAGAAATGTCCAAGAGTCCCACAACAGGCTATCACCAATAACTAACTATATCTTTTGATATGGTGAGAGTGCATTTCAAACCAAGCCAAGTCCTGAAACGACATACTATTCTCTCTCATTAAAAGGCACGAGTGAATACTTGACACTGAACTTCACACCTATCCAGGAACAATTACATGGGAACATATTCCTTGGCTTTCCTCTCACTTTTTAATCAGGTCAAGTTTACTTTTCTCTTGTCACTTTGAATCCACAGAAATTGGAAAGCATTTTTTAGTTGTTCTTGCCAAGGCATACCAGCTTTCTGAAGAACGATTATGCCTTTTTGCTTTACTTCCTATGTTTTAAACATAACTTATTTATCATCTCAGTTGGATTAAAATGCCATTAATTTAGTCTGGATCCAAGCCAATAACTTTTCACTGCTGCAACTGTTGTTCAAAATAAAAGCAAAAGTATTTTTTAACTTTGCTATTAGTGGTGTTACATATATTGCATATCTGCTAGTAATATAAAGAAATTCTATTGGATGAAATCATTTTCATGCAGCTCAACTGAGCACATTTTACATTTAATGAAGAACAGCTATTAGACATTCATAATTGCATAATGCACATATGTAATAGCTACCTCAAAATCTGTGATATACACCAATCTCTTTCAATAATGTTAACAATCCCAATCACTGAATAAAAAATACACAGGTGAAATAAACTTCATATAAATGAAGTTTCAAGTGCCTAGATTATAACTGCATTGATTCAATTAGAATAGCTTGTCAAATGAACAATCATTACTGAAATTTTACCAAGCCATGTAAGGTTATTGAACCTATATTAAATTGGCTGGATTTGATGTTTGTAAGCAGAACCTACTTACTTTATTACAAGTAGTATTACCATTAGTATCTTTTCCACAATGCCTAGAAATTATGCTGTAATTTTCATACTACTGAAATATACACAAAGTATCTAACCTTAAATACAATAATATTCATCAAGGGGAATTTACAACTCATTATAAAAGGTGATTTGTTTTCTTCCCTGCAGCCATTGACACTTATTCTACCAAGTTACCATAGAATTCAAGCCTCTCCTTTGCCTTCTCTACTATTTGAAGAGATGCCCACAAGATTTATACAAAGGTAAAAACTTCTATTAAAAAATCTTTTCTGAAATTATTTAGGTACTATTTATTTTTCACTCAAATGCACAAGGATTGTCCCCATTATATATAATTTTATCTAATAAAAGCAGCTTTTGTAACAATCCTTTTACTATAGTTATGTCAAAGTAAAAATGGATTGCTATAAAATGGGTTTCTATAACTCTTATATGTGAAAACAGCTTTGAAAGAACATATTATAATCCAAACTTTTAAAAGCAAGTGGGATTCAAGCAGATCACTTCTGTATCAAAAAATTCCTCAGAAGTTTATATAGATAAACTGACCTGAAATTCTCCAAAACTAGACATCTCCATAAGTATATGGAGTTTGCATAAAAATCTAGATAAAACACAATATAATTTTATTTCTTCAAATTACAAAGCAAGGCTGAATCAAGGCAAGTACTAATGTTGAACTGCCATATTGCTGCAAAAAGTTTTCAACCTAAGTTTTGTAAATTAAATGTGTTACTCATGAAAATTTTCAAGTGGTAGAATTTAAAGCTATCCAATACAGGCTGCAAAACTCCTGACAGACAGTAGATGGCAGTAAAGGTATGCTGAAAACTAAGCATTTTGTAATTGTACTTAGTAGCCCCCAATTTCATATTCAAATACTGAGAACTACAACAAAATTTGCTTCTGACAATTTCTATAAGCGTTGAAAAAACATCAATACCCAGATTAAAGTTTAAAACATCACAAATCTTGGTTTAATATTTTAATAACCATCTTATTCAAGAAGAGCATTTTTACTATTTGAATATTTAAATATTTATCTGGAATATACAAAAGTTTAAATAAATTTAAGAACAATCTATTTCAATTACTAATCCCATAATCACTTCCTACTCCTATTGCCTGTACTAATTTAACTTTCTCTTCTGCAAGAACCAATGCTGGTTGGCTGGTAATGAGAATTGTGCTCATTATACAGGACACTTGACTGATAACCATTAAATAATATTTAAGATTAACATATAAGCAAAAACATTTTTGTAATCCAGGTAGATTTAAAGCAATCAAGTTACATATACATTTTCTTCCCACTATTACATGGCATAGCAGGGTGTCATTAAAAATATTACCATGCTTTCAGTCTCCCGTTCAAGTTGATAGAAAATAAGGCTAAAATCATACGATTAGCACTATTTAATCAATATCCACAAAGAGAACCTTTTATTTCCTTTAAATAAGTATTTTATTCAATTAAAAGCATAGTGAAGTTTAACACTTTTAGCCCACTTTATTTTATTTACACAGTTGCAAAATGTTTAAACAATGGCTCCATGAATCCTGCCTTTCACCTTAAAAATATGCCCCAATTCTAGGGATACACTCAAATCGAACAATTAAGGCAAAACAAACCCCTAAACAGGATTCAAACCTATTTGGATCAGCTTTCACGGGAAGGGGGGGAGGGGGAAAAACACCCCACCAACGTGGGAAAAAAAAATTTTTTTCTTTAACAAGCTACAGTCCAGAATCCAAGGCAGTCAGTCATTTCACCTCCACAGTGCCATTTTGTCTTATTCGTTCAGCCCTTAAGTAGGCGGGCAGCAGTCAAGCGAAGGCAAAAGACCAGCGCCAGCAACACGCGGGATATGCACGTGGCCCAGGTACGAATGGACTCAACTCCGTCCCTCCCAAATCCCCGCATGGTCCAAGCGGGCTGCTGCTTCTGCCGCGGGGCAAACCGGCAAGGATCGCTACACTTTGCAAAGGCCAGAATCGCCCTCCGGTTTTCAAGATTGGAAAGTTTCCCTTTCCCTTCGAGCCTCCCCCACCCCCCCCCCCAAAAAAAACTCTCTCTCGCCTTTGCAGGCCTTGCATCCCACTCCCCCGCGAGGAGAAAAACCCGACCTCAGGTCGGCGCCCGCCCGCCCGCCCGCCTTTCAGAAACGCTTCTGCAAGCCATTCGCCTCCCCCCCCACCCCCTCCCCGCGAGAAGAGACCGTGGAGAAGGGTTCGCCTCACGAGCTCGGCTCGGCTGCACCAGGCGCGCTTTCCCACGACGGAAAGCGGTCAACACGAGAAGGAGCCCCATTCTGGACAGGGTGGAGCTCGGAGTAGGCAAGGCAAAGCAGCCCCGCCATGCCCTCCACGTGAGGGAGACGGGCAGGGCTCTCCCTCCTTCTGGAAGGCTGCCTTCGAGCCAGACAAGCGGGAGAAAGAGGGGAGGGGGTCCCGCTCCGGCACCACGTGCTCGGTGGAATTGAGTTGAGGGGGGGGGGCATAGCCGCTGACAGGGGGGGCGGGTAGGCTCGGCTGCTTTCTCTCCGTCCGCCCCGATAAACACTGACCTTGTGGGAAGCCCTCTTCGTCTCCCGCCGCCGCCGCCTCCCGTAGAAGAGAGGAGCGGCCCCGCCACTCACCTTCCTTCCTGAGAGGCGCGGAGCCAGGCTGCCCGCCTCCATCCTCTCTCCGGTCCCCGGCGCCTCCAGGCCCAGTCGAGGAGGCGAAGGGCGGCAAAGGGTTCTTGCGCTCCTTCTGAGATTCCCTGCGCAGCTGCTTGGCCGCGCTGCCGCTCCCTCCGCCGGAACCGACCTGGCCCGAACCGCCGCCTGAAGATGAATTAGACTGGGCCGCCTGCCCGCCTCCGCCACCGCGGCTGCCTTGGTGGCCGCCGCCGCCGCCCCCACCGGTGCTCTCTTTCTTGCGGCTCTCGGCCGCCTGGATCACCTCGAAGGGGTCGGATTCGTCGTCCAAGAGCTGGTCAAAGCGGTTGGTGACGACGCAACCGAAGCCTTCCTGCAGGTGTCCGGGCATGATGGACCCCTTTGGGTGGGATCCTCCTCCGATGCTGCCCAGGCCCCGGCCCACCCCCTACGTGCTTCTTTGCTGCCCACACAAGATGGCCGGCCCCCACAGAAACTCGCTTCTCTTCCGGCGAAAGCGACATCCGGGAAACAGAACTAGACGCCGCCAGCTCCTCGCGGAGGACCTTGGGAACTGAAGGCTGAATTCCCCGTCTGTAAGAAAAACCGGTCCTTGGCAAAAAGAAAGACCACAATTCCCAGCAGGCATCACGGAGCAGAGAAATAAAGCGGGCAAGTCTACCGCAAGGCAATCTCTTCCCTCAGAATGAGTTCAGTGAAACAGTTTAAAAAAAAAAAAAAAAAAACTTAAGAAGATAATGGCATTTATTTCCCCACCTTTCCTCCTTAAAGTGCATTGTCTGAAATGAAATGAAACAAAATAAAAGATGCTGTTTGCTGAAAACCTGAAACGCCAACAATACAAGGCTTGGGCTTATACAACACACTAATGCACGACTGATTGAATTAACTCAATTATATGGGTTTGAGCAACCTTAACCCTCTGAACCTAAAAGGAACCGTAACGCCTATATCTAAATTACAGCCCTCAGTCACAAACGAACCACTTACATTTTATTTTTTATTTATTTATTTTATTTAGTTTAATGTTTATTTCAGCTCAATTCGTTTGACAATATACTTAAGGCAGCATTACACATATGATTTTGCTAAGGATATATTTAGTTTTTATTTATTTGATTTGTCAATAGCTTACAAGATAATAGATACAAGTATAAATATGAGTAAGAATACAGGAAATAGGTACGGATAAATGGGGACAATAGGACAGGGACGGTAGGCACGATGGTGCACTTATGCATACCCCTTGCACTTATGCACGGCAATCTGCATAAGTGCACTCAGAGCTGTAAATACAAATATTACCAATGTTTCAGAATGTACTTATATAGAACAAGCAAAGAAGAAAAATATTCCTTTCTCTAGTTTTGTATACTGGCTTGTCTGTTTTTTGACAGGTAAAACTAGCATTATGATGAAACTGCAAGTTTGCTGTACAATTGTAAATGTGCATAGGATTGCACTGTAGCTAATAGCTTTATACTATTAAATTATGTTGTGTGCTGACAAACAGGACAGTTGTAGTCCCTCGCATATTCTTTCAGTACATTCTTGTCTCCAGATCTTAGAGCAGCAACCATTTTGTAGTTTCACAATATACTTAGTAACATGGATTAGAAAATACACAGGACCTCTCAACATAGAACAAAATTGTTTATTTTTACCTCATTTAAACTACAACTTGAGATTAGCAAACAATCCTTTATGTGTTTCACAGCTTTCAACTATGTTGCCTTCTGTAAGATAAACTGTTCCCACAGAAATTCAAAGCCACTGATATGGCAAGGAAGCTCAAACTATGCAAGCATACATTTTTCTCCTGAAACTGCCAGGCTGTACTGTATTTACTGCAGGCTAGTTAGAGAGCAACTTTGATGTAATGGTTAAGCCACCTGACTAGAAACCAGGAGATTGTGAGTTCTAATCCTGCCAAAAACACCACATAATTGTAGAAATATTTGTGTGGGAAAGACTTTGAATACTCCACTGAACACTGAGTTTAGAAAAATCCAAAATCAGCTGGCCATATGTTGGGGATGAGAAGACGGCTGCATCTTGTAAGAACTATTAACCAACTACAGTATCCTCAAACCAACCATCAGGAGATTTGTAGATGTGCCCATAATGTACAGAGACGTCTGGGGCAATATCAAATAGGTCACAGTAGGGCATTTATGCATTTTGCTGAATAACTAGAACTGCAATTGATTAATTCTTAAAAGTTGGGTTCTGCACAAGCTTTGTTTAAAATGCATGCCAAAACACTAATCTAAATGCACTCTAGGGAATGAGGGATGAGAAACTGTGTTTATGAGTCTAACAGACAAATGATCTCAAGCAAAACTGGAAACTACAATATGTAAAAATGGACATAATGTGCCCCAAAGATGGAATCTTGGGCTTTCAAATGTTTTTGATTATAACCTCCATCTGTCCAAATTGCACAAATATCAGAAGGTATTTTGGAAATGATTAAATGTGTAGAGGGATGTCAGTTATCTGAACTTGCTTTAGACTGTGTTGGCTAACAAAAAGAGCTGCACAGCCACACTGAAATGCTCTCACTTAGTCTGTGAGCTGGAAGAAGAGTTTGCTGGCATAAATTGTGGTGCCATCACTACTTAGACCTAGTCTGCCACCATAGTAGCAAGGTTGGTGAGAGAGGTTGGTGTTTTGTTTTCATTTGGGACAAAAGAAAGAAGGTGATTAATAGATTGCCAGGTTTCATTCCTTTCCCCATCTATGAATGGGGGAAAAACAATCGCCAATTGATCTCCACAACATCTACTGATGCATAGCAACCTAAAGAAAAGAATTGAAAAAGTGGAAATTCAAGTCCCTGGATGCATCCTCAACCACAGTATATACAATGGAAACAAGTTTTTCTCCCTGGCAAAAGCTGTCTTGGAGGAAGATACAAGTGTAGATTCAAGCAGCTAAAGACAACTTTAAGCTGCTTTGGCTTTGGGCTGGAGTTGAGTTGACAACGTTTTTTTCATTTTTTATTTCTTTTGATTTGTCAATCGCTTACAAGATAATAGGTATAAGTATATACATAGTTATGAATACATGAAATGGGTACATATAAGAAAAATAAAAGAAACAATAGGACCCGCTACAGACCTCTTAGGAAAGGGTTGAGGTCAATAGTAGACAGTCTAAGGTTAAAGTTTTTGGGGTTTGGGGAAGAAACCACAGAGTCAGGTAGAGTATTCCAGACATTGACCACTCTGTTGCTGAAGTCGTATTTCCTGCAATCAAGTTTGGTGCGGTTTACCTTGAGTTTGTATCTATTGTGTGCTCTTGTGTTGTTATGGCTGAAGCTGAAGTATTCATTGACAGGTAACGTATGATTTTATATACCCTATTTAGATCAAACCGAAGACGGCATAATTCAAGGTTTTCTAGGTCTAGAATTTCAAGTCTGGTGGCATAAGGGTAATGAGAAGAGGAGTGGAGAACTCTTCTTGTGAAATATTTCTGGACTTTCTCAACTGTCCTAATATCAGATATGTAATGTGGGTTCCAGACTGATGAGATGTATTTGAGTATTGGTCTAGCAAATGTTTTGTACGCTCTAGTTAGTAGTGTGATATTACCAGAGAAAAAGCTACATAGGATTAGGTTAACAACTTTTAATGCCTTTTTGGCTATGTAGTTACAGTGGGCTCTAGCACTTAGATCATTAGAGATGAGTATTCCAAGGTCCTTTACAGAGCTTGGATCATCAACAAGGTCTTGACTATTCAGCTTGTATTTTATTTTCTGGGGTTTTTTTTGCCATTATATAAGACAGAGCATTTATTTGTTGAGATTTGAAGTTGCCATTTGTTTGACCATGTTGTGAGGGTATGTTAAAATGGTTACTGGTGCATGGTGCAATTGGAGGGACATGAAAATGAATCCAAGTATTTTTCCAGTTAACATTAATACAGATACTTAATACAGCTACTACTGTTCAGGTAGAAATATTTCATCTGACAGAAAAGGATTTGCCACTATAATAGATTATTTTTCTATTAGCTTACCAACAAATTTGTTCTCATATTGGGGCATTCTCTAGGTATGCATGGAGGGAGTTAAAAGAAGAGTGAATGTAAATTCTATTAAAAGAATAATATTTAAAACATGTCCCATCTATTGGATATCAACTGTAATCATAATATTTCCTCTGGTTACCTTGCTTAAATAACAGGTAGTCTTCATTTAGCAACTATCTATATTTTAAAATTTTAAATGTTTTATGAATGTTTTTTCTTAATTGTAATTTAGTTCATGTGTTAGCTTACATTTTTTGTTGTTACATGGTTGTCACAAAAACTAAATACAATTCGCTAGTTGAATACTTAAATTCATCTAGTAAGTCTTACAAAATAATGATATGATTTCATTATAGCTTTTAAAATACTATTAAAACAGTTTAGATAATGTTTCCATTTTTCTATTATGCAATCTATGTATTAGTGTTATATTTATAACTGATGGTTTATTGTCCTATTTATTACTGTATGCTACTCTATATACTAATGTTAATTGGAATTTAGACTCTGCTCTTTAGTAATACAGTAGTGTAGAAAAATAGAAGGCAAAATCTGATACTTCTAGGTTTTATTTGTCTGCTTTATTTTCAAGTACTGATTTTCTCCTCTTTTATGCAGATGTTTAATCAATTTTATTTTACAACAGCCAGCAATTTACATTACAGTTTTTTGTAGCATGGACCATCAAGTTTACAAGCTGTATAAAAATTTTGGTACTCTTCTTGTCATATTAACCTTCTCTTTTTCCAGTAGCTTTACATACTTTTCATCTGTTTTGGGATGCTTCCAGACAAGGTTTATATTGTAGAGTCACAATGCTTTGTTCATGAAGTACTTTAAGAAAATTACCAAAGGCACTATGATTTATTTGTAACCTGTCTATATCATATCATCACATTTTAATCTTTTTTCTATCCATTAAGCATATCATAATAAAAAAGCAGAACAATGCAATTTTTTTAAGCATGTGGGTAAAGGAAATGTGAGACTGAGTCACTATGAAAGGCATTATTTCTGGACAGATGTCTAGAGGTAGTTATGCTACTCCAGTGTAGCACAAAGCATGAAGGCATTTCTGGCAACATAAAAAAAAAACCAAATAATTACTGTATATACATGTCTTAGAATGCCCTGACCTTATCTGGCGCTGAGCAAATTTATATCCTACAGGGTAAATTCTTTCCATTTTCCAGGGCTTTTCTGCCCTCAGAATAAAGTGAGTTCCTATAAAATGCAGGAACACCAGCCTCTGAATAAGCATATCTGGAATATAGCTATAAGGAGGAGCAGAACAGAACTTCATTTTCAATCAATGTTAACCTATTGAGCTATAGGGGGGTCACTGCCTAAGAACAAGACCTGAAAAACCCAGGAGAACCTCAAGATTTATTTTATTTTTTTATTCATAACCCACCTTTATTATTTTCACAAATAACTCAGGGTGGCAAAG